TGGCTGCTTGTCCCCAGCCCAGCAGCAACGGAATTCCTTGGCCTGCCTGTTCAGTAATCTTCTGCCAGCTGGCTCCCTCCCTGTCCTCTGGGAACTCAGTGAATCACACCTCCGCAGCGCATTTGGCTCTGGCAAACCCTGAAGGGCTGGAGGCTTGTGTCTGCCAGCTCCGAGGAGCTGCCGCCCAACTTCTGAACATGGACCATGTCGGGACCCTGGAATTTCTGAGCACATGAGGCTTCCCAGCTGCAGAGGAGGAACACTCATCTGGAGGCCTGGCAGTGTTCAGAAGGGGTCGGGCTGCTCACTCACAAGGGCAGGCGCTTTCTCTTTCCTGGGTTCCTCAGGGACCCTTCCAGGAGCAGAGGTTCTCACAGGTTCTCGCAGGTGGGACAGCAAAAAAAGAGCAGAAGAGCTTGGTTCTCTTTCCACCTCTCCTGCTCATGACTTTGGATAAGGTAACCTGGAGCATAAGCTCTCCAGCTGGGAGTCAGGGCATTAGCAGAACACCGAGCTTGGTGCACTGGGCCATCAATACGACCAAACACATATTTGGGGATTTTATTTCAATGGTTCAGGCACAAGGAACCAAGAGGGAGATGGCTGTTGAGATGCTTCTTTTACCACTGGCCTTAGAATCATGCATTGCAAGGCTGGACCATTTTCAAAAGCAGGAGTGTGATCAGGTTTTGTCTGCCTCTCCTTCAAGTGACTAGACAGCCTTTCTTTAGATAGGGCATAAAAAGAATCTCCGCAGACAAGCAGCACAGGGAGAAAGTGAGCCAACCACGCACACCCTCCCCAGCCTGCAGATGCAAAGCCAAGTCAGCGGTGGCCTGTCCCAAGGGGAGGAGCTGAGGCGGGCCAGCGGCTCTTCAGCCATGCAAGGGCTCCTTTCAGCCTGGTCAGCCCACTTGCCAGGCCACCCCTCTCTGCAGTCACTTAGCACAGCACAGGAAGTAGGACAAGGGAGCCCGGGAGCGTGAGAGACGTGTGCGGAGCCCCAGAGCTGTGGCAAGGTGGGAAGTCGAGGTACCAGTGACGAAATCAGCCTGTTGCTTTGTTAAAATAGTCCTGTAATGTGTAAAAAGAACCCATATGCACTGCTGTAGTGGATTGAATTATGTCCCCCCCAAACTCACTGAAGCTTGAATTGTATCCCCCAAGTTTTATGTATTAGAAACTTAGCCCCCACTGTGACTGTTAGGAGGGTGGGAAATCCTATTACGGTAATTGCAAAGTGGGGCCTTGAAGAGGTGATTAGATTGTAGGACTGTGCAGCAGTGAATGGATTAATAATGGTGGTCAGGGGCATGGTTCTGAGGGCTTTAAGAGGGGAGCATGACGAGTCTGTGTCTCTCTCTGCTCTACCATTTTCACAATGTGATACCCTGTTGTCACTGCCATCACATCCAAGGCCTTCACCAGACGTGTTCCCTGGACTTTGGACTACCCAGCCTCAGAAACTGTAACCAATAAATTTCATTTTCTTTATAAATCACCCAGTTCTGTATATTTTGTTATAAGCAACAGAAACGGACTAATAACAGCTGCTGATTAGGAATTCCACAGAAAGTGTCTTGCTTACTTGGTGAAGACCTGGTGATGGGAAGTCCTGTCTCTTGGTCCTGGCTCTTTCCAACACCCCCACCCCCTTTGCAGGGGCTGGGCTAGAACTGACATCCTGGGGGCTGCAGAGAAGCTGGGGAGGGAAGCACAGTATCGGGGCTGCTTGCCAGGGACCCGGGCACAGGGCAGCTCTGGGCACCTCCCCCTCTCTGCCTGCCCTCTGGCTCTTCCCCAGCATCGCCACCGCATGCCACCTGCCACAACCGCCAAAAAGCATTTTTAAAAGTTTTCTCTGAAAGATTGAAATAATCTCCCTCCTGAGTCTCGCCCCAGTCAGTCCAATCCAGGCCCCGTGGGACCTCAGAGCGAGTGTTCCCCTGCGGCCCCACCTGCTTCCCGCAGTCCCTGGCACTATGCATTCCTTCCGACAGCCCAGTGCAAGCGCACGGCCCTCCTGCTCATGGCCACCCCACTTCCCCACAGGTCCCCGTCACCTGCACTGCCTTGGCTGCTTGACCTGTGCCCACCCCAGCACATCTGTCCGCACCTGCCTGACCCTCTCCACGGTCCCTGCCCTCCCAGAGGATGTGACCTTGTTGTGGATCCCGGCGGTTGCGACACCCGCTGTTCGCTCCCCTCAGCCTCGTGCTCCCTCTGCCTCTTTCCTACGGGCTCGTTAACCCAGCCCGACTCCTGCAGAGAGAGACACACGGAGGGGGGAGAGGAAGGAAGGAGAGAAGAGAAACGACCACAGGAAAATTGAACGTTTCCACCCTTCAACTTCTCCTTGATCCAGTTCTTTCCTTAGGAAATAATGTTCCAGGCCCTCCCACGGACACATTTTTTCCACCTTGGTAACCTCAGAAACTGTAACGTGTCTCTCAGAGGACAAAAGCGCAGGCCGTCCTTTCATTGGCCAGGCTCTTCCTTCCTTAGTGGAAACATGCGGTGCCATGCGCCTCACTATGGATGGCATCTGGGATGAGAAGACATGTCACTGACAGAGGCCACTAAGTTCCCTGTGTCATGTGTCATCTGATTCTCAAGTACTGCGATGTGGTTTCTGTTCCTAACACCCCACTGGGAAGTGCACCCCCATGATCGCCAGGGGCTCCTAAATCTCAAAACTGGTACTTTTCAGCCCCCATTTTACTCAGCCTAAATGCCGTTTTTGACAATACTGGCCTCCTGAAATTTGCCTCCCTGATTCTTGAGCCTTTCCCACCTTCCTCTTGTCTGTCCCACCTTCCTCAGGCCTGCCATCTCCATCTGGTGGTCCCTGGGGGGTTCCTCCAATGCCGCGCCGTGGCCGCCCATGGTGCCCACACCTGTTCCTCATCTGCCCCCCGCAGACCAAAGACCCTGCGTCTGGGTCTGTACCAGAGCCTCTCTCTGGGCCCAGCCTGCGGCACATCACTCCCGGTACTTTCACATATTCTACGGGTTCTCAGCCAGGAGAGATTTCCCCCCAGAGGACACGCAGCAGTGTCTGGAGATGTTTTTAGTTGTTCCTACTTGGGGGGATGCTATTGGCATCTAGTGGGTACAGGCCAGTGATGCCACCAAACATCCTATAGCAGGATGGTGCCCGACAGCAAAGCATTATCCAGCCCTAAATGTCAACAGTACCAAGTGTAAGAAGCCCTGCCATATGCACTTGAGACAGCCAACACCCACGCCGAACCTGCCCTGGAACAGCTTCCATGATGGTGCATTCTGTCTTCCCATGTCTGTCTCTCCCAATGGCTGGAAGCTTAGGGACACACCGTGTCTTAGTCATTTTCCCATCTCCAGCCCCGTAAAGGAATGAAAATGGAATATTAGGTGCCCAGGCTGCACTGCTGAACAGAGGATGTCATCTTCTGTCCCACGTCCCAGGTATCGTTATGTTCTGGAGGCAGCACCATCGTAGCCTACCACTGGGTGCTGAGGGAGGGAGACGGAAGCAGTGGGTGCAGAAGCTGAAGGCTCAGGGATGGGGGAAAATCCGCAGAACCTGACTGCATCCCTCTGCTGGGTGAGTACAGGTAGTGCCCGTGGCCGCCAAATGCATGGGAAGAAGAGAAAAGCCTAACACCAATTTAGCTTCTATTACTATTTCTAAAATTTGCCAAGGGTTGAATAACTGGATGTAGAAGGCATAAACAAAGCTTATGCTGGTAAAATGAGACTTTTAAAAAAAGTGAACATTAAAAGATCGGCCCAGGTTGTGTTTTGAATAGTAAATGCAAAGTAAAACCAAAAGGGGAGCGCAGCGGCACTGGGAGCACCGAGGCCACAGGTTCGGATCCTATATAGGGATGGCTGGTGCACTCACTGGCTGAGCGCGGTGCGGGCAACATCAAGCCAAGGGTTGCGATCCCCTTACCAGTCAAAAAAAATAAATAAAAAGTAAAACCACCAATAAAATAAATAGAAAGCCTTGGGGAAAAGAAGGAGGAATAAGACATAAGACACTTTGGCAGCGGGTTAAGTTTTTCATCGTATTTTAGCACTTTCCTATTATATTTTTATCTGGGTAACATAGAAGGTCTTTAAATTCCCCAAATTTCTTAAAGTAGATCTTTATGAAATGCAAATCAATTGTAGCTGCATCAGCTTACTTCAAGGCAAGGTACAAATTCACACACTTTCTTACTTTTTTCTGAATTCATTTGGACACCTTATGCGAGGGATCTGGTTAGGAAGGCAAGACATTTTAGATCAGAGTGGAAGGAAATTCTCCCGTGAATCAGGAAAGCAGGAAGCATCCCCACGACTGGAGAAACCCTGCTGGAGGATGAGAGAGGAAACATCCATCACCCGTAGGACGTGAGGCCCCTGGGGACACGTGCTGGCACGCCTGTGTGTGAACATGCACGTGTGTGTGCTCAGCCAGGCCCGTCCGTCCCAGCAGCCACCACAGCCCTCGGTGGGGCTCAAGAGACATGTGCTGCCACTCAGAAAGAGGATGGAAACCCTTCTGGAATCTTTTCTGAGAACAGATTTGAGGTATTTTCTGGAGAATAATGTCGTATACTGACACAAGACAAAAGAGACAACTTACATTCAAACGTAGGCTTCTGTCATGTCAGATTTCCTGTCGGCATGTGCCAGGGTCTCTCGGAGATGAGAGGATAATATATAAAGAGGGGCGGGTTACACTGTAGATGATAAACCCTCTTACTGCCCTTCCTCATAGTTTGGCAAAGCAAAAAATATAAGGAGCACACCATGCTGGCCCGACGTGCATCCCAAGCACACGCCCTCATGCCAGGAGCCGCGGGCATCAGCATCTCCGCCTCCATGTCAGGGAGAAGGAACCATGTCTTGGAGCAAAAGTCCACTCCGCCTGGACGTGGGGTCTGGGTCCGAATGCAGGTTCTGGGTTTTTTCCAAAGACAGCACTGCTTCCATTCAGCTATGAGTTAAATAAACCACCCGAGAAAAGCTTCAGTACAAAGAGTTTTTTATTGACTTGGTAAGAAACAGTTTTCTTTGTTACAAAAGGACTAAGTGGTTCTGTAAAGCAAAGGCAGAGGTCGCCCGCGGCGGGCTGCGGCCCAGGGGGCCCGGCCGGTCACGTCGGAACACTACACCTACCATACTTAAATGTATTTACACGTGTTTCTTTTAAAAAAAGGATTACACATTTCATTTTTAAAAAATCTAAAAAAGGTGAAAGAAATGAACTTGTCGTTTTTCTTACACGTTGGCAGGATACCCAAAGGTAGCTTGTCAGATGAGAACAGCCTCCTATCAGCTCACAACACAGGAAGCCAGGTCACGAGACAGCTCGGCCTCTGCTACGGTCCTGTGCCCTGGGCCGGGGAGCTCACCGCTGACCCGGCCACAACAACTGGTCCCTCTCACTGACAAGATTAACATAAAATAAGGCACATACATCGCAAGAATCAAAACTTTGTGGCTCAAGAGGACGAGCCAGTGTGTGAGAAGCAGGTGGTAGCTTAGTTCTTTAGAAAAATAAAACAAAAATGGCTTGGAAAATAAAAACAAGTTTAACACAGATGTTAAACAGGAGTACCATCTATGACCCTGCAATTTTATAAAAAGTAGGACAGTGACACCAGGAGGCAGCACTCTTTCTAAATGCATAGGTTAGAGAAATGGAGAGAAGGGTGGAGGCTGGGGGTGGGTCCCACTGTGAGTCTGCAGAGAACCTGTACCCTGACAGGATACTTCTAAGTGACCTCGAAAGACCTCCTTCCACCAGACTGTCACAATAGATCACCAAAATTCTGGAAAAGTACACTTTCCTCTTCCCTCCTATCCTCTGCCCTTCTGAAATTTCCCTATTGAGAGAAGCCAAATATTGAGCTGAAAACATGTCTCTGGCAAATCAAAAAGCAGTAGCAAAATATAAAAAGAAAAAAATATGAAAAGAAAAAGTAAAGAAAGGGGGAGGCCTAGAGAATAACTGGAAACCAAAGGAAGCGGCAGCTGCACAAGATGACGACGCTCGTCCTGATCGCTGTCCGTCCTTCCAGGAAGGGCAAAATCATTATGGGAAATTATGGCCATTGAGAAGTGCAGGTCATACCCAAAACACTTCAGGAAAAAACTCCGATGGAGAAGGTCAGCTTGATGCCAGGGACCCACACTCCCGAATCAGGAGTGGAGAACACAAGAGCCCAGGCTTTGAAACCAAGACTAGGAAAGGGATTGGGCAAAACCATAAGAGCTTGTGAGCTAAGACCAGGATCTGGAGATTTGGAGATTCCTGGAAAAATGAGATTCAGGGAATGGATCACTGATTTTGTGACCAGATCGTGACCTGTTTGAGGAACCTAGGAAAAGCCTTGCTTTTTCAGCTGAAAAGTAATAAGAGACCACTCTCCTAAGCTCACATCAGTAGTTTCTTGGCTGCTTTTGAGCTGCTCCAGAAGGGGCGTATCCTTTGATTTACAGGAAGGGGATATGTGGGGAGGGTGGCAGGGAGTGCACAAGGGACTGCAGCATCCTCTGCTGGTCTCAGGAACGTCTGTCTGAAAGCAAACCCAACAGTCTTACACACAAAATCCCAAATGGCAAATTTACCTCTGTGCTGAGATTCTCGGTCCAAATGAGATAAAATAAACATGAGAAAAATGGGCTGGTCCTAACAGTCTTTCCATTATGTAACACTTAATTTTATCCTTCTACTACTAATTTAAATGTCAGGGAAAAAGCCACACAATTGAATTATGAATCACTTTGGGTAAATCCACCTCCAGGGGTCAACAGGACAGAATACAGCAGGTTCTTTGAGGTGTTAAGTTTTATTTTAATAGTTTACATATTTTAAAAGCAATATGCTGGACAATCCATGTACTCTTTGTGCACACATAGTATGACTTTTATGTGTATCAACTGCACATGGGGAATAGCTGCACTTATAAATCCTTAAATGTTTTAATCCAAAACAAAAGTATTGATACTAGTCCACATGAAGGACTGACTGCATATAACATTGAACTTCTTAAATGGATGCAGCATTAAATAGACAGGGTGTGGAAAGGCATCTGCACAGCTACTAAATATCTTCCCCAGTGCTCTCGAATACTAAAAACGGTTGAAGTAGTTTACTCCCAACATCAATTTATGTGAGCTTTTTCTTTTACAACTAAGTTTTATAAATCCCTTAAAATAGGGTGTCTAGAATAGAAATACTCCTTCACTATAGTGGGATTAATAAATGTTAATGATATAGCTGTTTGTGGGGTTTTTTAAATACCTATATACTTAGAGCTATACATAATCAATTCTTAGTTATCTATGATAACGGGGAAAGAGATGGAACTAATCAACAAATATAGCAATCCCACAAATATTCCCCAAACTAATTCTACTGAGTTGCTTCAATCTACAATCTAACTCTTCCCAGAACAGAAAAGCAGCAATGTGTCTGAGTGCCACAGCGGCCTGTCCCCTCCCTCTCACCGCAGCACTAAACAGTGGCTGCCGAGGGAAGCAGAGGGAGAAGAGGCAAAAGGGGGTAACTGAGGACTGACCACATCGACACACCCACCCAAAAGCACACGTACTGACACAAAAGGTGTGAATCCCACACTGTGAACAAATGACCTCATTTGCAAGAGCCCCAAGTTCCCACTCCTGTGCAACTGTCGAAAGTCTGCCCTGAACTGAATTAGGGGTGGGGAACATGTCACAAATCTTGACATTGCGCCCACAAAGGATTCTAAAACTCACTATCCGAATTCTGATTCTTGTGCCCAATGTGGGAATCAAAAGAAAAACAAAACAAAACAAAACCCAACACACAAAACACAAAAACGAAACACTGAGCATATGTAAAAGAAAATTAAAAAGCTGGAAGTGTAACCCCTTGGTCACAAGCACACCAACTCCTGCTTCCCTTGAGTAACAGAGAAACGAGTCAAATCTTCTCATTTGCCTGCTCTTCGAAAAGGAAGAAGAGCGTGCAGCACGTCACACACTGACACTGGTTTACTAAAAAACGGGGCAGGCTTACAGTTTAAAGTAAAAAAGAGGGTGGTTCGAGTGTAACAATACTGACTCAAAACTGAAATGTAAGACAGTTTCTCCCTAGAATACTTTAGGGTTTTTCAGAGTCCTTTTCCATAAAAGGAATATACTTGAAACACATCCCAGTCAGGTGAGATGAGATTGCTAAAATACATACAGAACTAAAAAAAACAAACCAGCCCAAAACAGTTTCTTCTTTTCAACTCCTATAGTCTTACGTTTGTTTACGGTCCTTTTCCCTAATGCTTACTGCATAACTGCAAGGAATTTGCTTTCTTCCGCCAGGGAGGTTAGCAAAGAACTCATGTCCCCGATGGCCATGTTGGTGGTGTTCAGGGACAGTGCGGGGAACGGGAGGGCCACGCGCGGGGTGGTGAGGCGGGAGGAGCTGTGGGAAAAGTTCTGAATGATGCTGGGGCTCAGGGCCCCTGACACCAGGCTGGCGTGGTCCCCGTCGTCGATGATGGCATCGAAATCGATCTGCACCCCTTCCAGGTCATGGCTGTCGAGGCCATCCACCGTGCTCGTCACCTGGTTAGCACCTGGGGAAAGTAACTCAGAGTTTTCGGCGCTGGTCCCCTGCAGCAGGCAGCTGGCTTCTGAAATGGAGAATGACCCCATTTTCGTGTCTTGCTGACTGAAGCCCATGGTCTGGTCATAGAACTGACCAGAGTAGTTCTGCACATTGGAACAGAGCTGCGAGGTCTGCCCTTGCATCTCCAGCTTGATGCCATTCACCCTGCAGGTCTCACTTGTGTCACTGAGCTGTCCCCTCGCCACACCCTGGCGCCTGCCGCCCCCAAAGCTGGCACACGGCTGGTAGCCCCTGACAGCTGCCAGGTTTGACAGCTGGCTGCCCTGAGCCCCCGGCAGGCAGCTCTGTGGCCCCGGGTAGACACCTCCATGCGGGACGGTGCTGACCTGGCCTGGCACCTGCTGCCCGGGCCGGCCCAGCCCCTGCTGCTGCTGGCTACCGCCGAGCAGCTGGAGAGCGAGGTAGCCCTGTCCCGCCAGGTCTTGGGTCTGCACGCCGTTCACTGCGCTGCCAGCTGACTCGGTTGGGGCCGCTGCCAGGCCAAAATCCAGCGGGCCCCCACTCCCGTGCACAGCGGCGCTCTTCAGCTTTGATCCTTGAATGCTGGCTGCGCAGGTACCACCCAGAGCGCCGGGGGCCGGCAGCTGCCTGCTGAGACAGTTCTCATACTGCAGGGCCTTGTAGGGCTGCTCGTGGAAGGCATTTCCACTGGTGCCAGCTGCGCTGCCGCTGTGGGTCACCAAGGGCTCGGGACCACCGTAGGAGCTGTCGTTTTCCCCAAGGGGCTGGTATCCCCCCGCAGGGCCGGCGCCGCTCCGCAGCGGGTGCTGCAGGTGGACCACGCCGCCGTAGGGACCGAAGGCCCGGGCCTGCTGCGTGCTGGAGCGAGGGCCACACTTCAGCTTGGCAGAGGACAGCTCGGCGCTTCCGGAGCTGACTTCGTTCCACTGAATGGGCAGGTCAGGCTTGCCGCCGTCGGCGGAGGGCTGCTCGAGGGCACGGTACTGCTGGCTGGCGTGGCTGGCCGGAAGCCCGGGAGGGCCAAAGTCCCCGGGCCCGTGGGCCACTTTACTGTCGTCGGCGATGGTGCTCTGGAAGTGCTGCTCATACGCTGCTTGGTTCTGGGAGTTTAGATACTGCACCACGTCATCTGGCAAGAAATCCTCATCGCTCAAGCTGGCATCGGCGCCCATGGACAGGGACTCCAGGGTGACATTCTCGGTGATGCTGGGGGGGCAGGGGGACGCGTGGAAGTGACGGGACTGGCCGCCCTCGGGGGGCCGCGTGTAGTTCTGCAGCACCAGGTTCCGCTTGTCTGCGGATGGAGGCAACACCGGAGGGCTGAGGCTGCTGAAGCGCTGCGCCCGGGGCACAGAGGGCAGCTCCGGGCCTGTGCGCACGGGGTCGCTCGCCCTGCGCACGCCGCCCCCCAGCGCGTCGGAGGGCAGCAGGGGGCGCCGGCCGTAGCCGTGGGCTTGAGGCGGTACTGCTGCGCGGGTGTTAGGCTCAGCAGGCCGGGCAGGCCGTCGCCCTGGCTGGCCTCGCTGGACCTGCGGGAGGCGTCGGTGGAGATGGGGTCGTAGGAGTCGGCCACGCTCACGTTCTGCGGCCGGCCCTCAGCCTGAGAGGCCTCGCTGGACCTGCGGCTGGAGAAGCAGGGCGAGATGCCCGACGAGCGGCGGCTGCTCAGGTAGGCCGAGCTGATGCTGCTGGTGCTGCTGTCCCTCCTGCCCAGCAGGTTCAGCACGGTGAGGTCCACGCCCAAGAGGTCGCTTCTGCTCGGGAGGAGCGTCCCCGGCCCGGCCAGACTGCAGCTGCTACCGGACTGTGTGCCTGGGGATAGGGAGAGACGTGTGAGGAGGGACTCATGTCAAGGGTGACTGAAGCCAGGCCCGCGGCCAGCCTCTTCTCTAAAGAGCCCGGGAGTAACTGTTTTCGGTGCCCCGGGCCTCCATCATAAGTACCCGACTGTGCAGTGTAGTTCTGGAGCACCCACAGACAACACAGAATGAACAGCTGTGGCTGGGGCCAATGCCACTTTACAGACAAAAGCAGGTGGCAGGCGGTATGTGGCCCCCAGTCTGTAGTTTGCCCACCCCGGCTTAAATAATACAATAACAACTCCCTAAATTCAGTTAAGCTCCTCCACAGGCTTAGAGCAAGGATACAAGGAACCTCGGGATGTACACACAAGGCTCACATCCCAAGCAAGACCCCAGGAGGAAGTATTTCAGGAGTTTCGTGTCCGCACTCAGGGCTTCCTGTTTATCCCACATCCCATCAGCAGGTAACACACACCTGAGTTGGTGGAGAGGAGAGGTGCGCTCTTAGGATGTGCTCCCGGCATCCACAGTAATCTCAGAGGCAAAAACGACATGGGAAGACAATGGGAAAGGACACCGGCCTGACCTTCAGCTGAGCAAACCTGAATAGAAGTAGCTGCTGACCTCTGGGCTTTAGATTTTGGAAACCAGAGACAGGCTTCCAAACCACAGATGCCTCTGCCACTGGCATTTTCTCACTCTAGTCTAAGACTTATGATTTTGCTACCAGAATACAAGCCATGCACAGTCTTACTTTTTGTTTCAGTATTATCCTGTTACTCCCTTTTTTTTACAATGTGGACGTTCCAGAAAGGAACCTTGAACGGGCTCATCGTTACTCTGGATGGCTGCATTGTAATTTTAGGTCTGGTGTGGAAACGAGCAGATATAAAGCCGAGGGTCCAGTTCCTCTCACAGCACTCTGGCCCCACTTAACAGAACAAACCTGAGCAGATGCACAGTCCGATATGGAACTCACCATTTCCTATGAGAGGAGAGACTGCAGGGGCTTTGGGGGGTAGAACAGGGTTCAGTCGTGGGAGCATTCCATTTACTTGTTTTAGCCTTTCTAATTTCACGTGCTCCATCCATTTGGTCCCTGCTGGGTTTCTCCTAGCTTGCAAGGCGAGAGCTGTGGTTGCAGTGGAAATGGTTGAGTCCATAATCGGGGTTTCATCGATGGCACTGAGGTCTCCTATGCTACCTCCATCGGTCAGAGGAAGCTCGAGCCCACTGTTGGGATAGTTGTTGATGGGGGATTGTTGGCTGCTGCATGAAGACTGACCACCAGGGCTTGGCTGAGATGTCTGTGTGGGTCAAGAGGAAAGGAAAGAAATGTCACCAGGGAGGGTAAAGGAAAGAGCCAATAATGAGAGCTCCTGCACATCATGACCTTCGGGATTATCAGTGGTTGAATGAGAACAACTATGTTCCATTGACTGATGGACCACCAGGCTGGTGTGCACTGGGACAGCAGAGAATGCTAGATGTAGTGTGATAGGTATGACGTCAGCCATGGAATCCTGTCCCAAATGCCAACTCTGCAAACACACTTCCTCAGTTCCAATCCCACCTCCACAACTTTAGTCTTTGTGCAAATCACCTAGCCACTCTAAACCTTAGTTTCCTTAATTGTAAGATGGAGACGATTTATCTTAGGCACTGTTGTTGGGAATTAAGTGTGAAGCCTAGAGAGCACACAAGTATAAAAAGACCTGGATAATAATAACCGGTGTAGAGGGCATTAGCAATTATTATTATCCAAGTTGGTTCCAGTCTTTGGGTTCATTTTGCTCAGCTGAAACATAAATGAAAGATATGCTCCATAGGCACGCATTACCTCTTCTCCAACAAGAGCCCCTCTACTCGGCTGTTCAGGGCTGGTTAGCCAAGTTCTTCATAATCTCTCTTCCTTCCTTCTACATCTTTCTGCTCTTGTAGAAGAACCTCAACCAGAGTGTGGATAAAGGCAGTTATAAGAGGTAAAACTTCAACCACTTAGCTTCTGCTATATCCAGAGAGGAAGCACAGCTGCAAATCCCAGCCATCGGGCATCTGTGTGATAATTCCACCATTCCCCTGAGTGTGCCCGAGCATTTCACTAGGAGAATAAGGAAATGTTTTCTTAATCCCAACCAAGTGGACTCAGAAAATTCTGCAACTAATTGGAACTCCATCTAGTCCAGTGGTTCTCCAGCAGGGAAAGCACCTCTACCCCCCTGCCTCCCCAGCTCCTAGACACAGGGGGTGGGAAGCTCGGCAGTCTCAATGTCTGCGGAGCATTATATATGAGGGTACTTCAAAAAGTTCATGGAAAGGTTTGTATTATCTTTCAATTCTATTTTCCACAAACTTTTTGTAGTATCCCCATAAAACGGCCTGCACAACACAGGACAGTACACACAATATAGATCTGTTTGATCTAAAATCCCAGTGGTGCCTTGGTTGATAAACACTCAAATCCTTTTTGTATGGAAAAAAAAAGTGATGCTCAGAGAAGTTCAGTGAATGCCCAAAGTCACAAAGTTGATGGTATGACTCTCCTAGGTGTTTAGGCTGGGTCCTTCCACGCCTCTGCAGCACCTTCTCCAATGTTACTATAAAATTGGAGCCACTGACAGAGCTAGAAATTCTCTAGAGAGCGAGAACTACCTCAGTTACATCATACAACTGGAGTCTTAGGTGGACTTCACAGTGCAGTTAGGCAGGGGTTTTCAGAGACAGGACTTTTCAATTGTGCCCCTTATACTTTTCTGCTATCACAGTACATACACCCACCCAAGCAAATGAACACATTCTATGTGACTGCCACATGATACACTAACTTTATCCTGGGAAACCAAGCAGAGCAAAATAAGATATACGCATTTGATCATGAGTGTGTAAAGCCTTGCTTAATTTTTTGCCTCGGCAGAGTCTTGGAGTGCCATATCACCTGCTCCTTCCTGACATACCCGGAGTTTTGAGAGCTTTGGATGTCTTTTACTCTAGAATTGTCAAATCAGAGTGTGTGTGTGTGTGTGTGTATAGATGAAGTTGTGTGTATGTGTGTGTACACACACACAAGCAGGCAGACACTTTCATTTAGGCATGTAAGAAGGCACTCAGACCTTTAAATAGAGATTAAGTTGCTAGCAACAAATGTATCCAGATCTTCCTCAAAGAAGATGGTACATGTTTGGTCCAAGAATGAATTTACACTAGTCAGTACCACAATTAAATAGTCTTTGAGAACATCTGCTTGGTTGGTCCCAGGGTGATTTGTTATGAAAACCTGAACAAACAGAACAATGAATCCACCATCTAACTCTACATTTTTCACATGCTGAATGTTCAGAACACATTGTTTCTATATTTAAAACACATCTGAGTAATGTTCACTACCAAAGATATCACAAAGCCACAAAAACTAAAGAAAAGTGAAACAAACAAAAAATTACATGTTAAACTGAAAACAAAACAAAACAAAACAAAACAAAGCACAGAGAAGCCAAAATTCCCTCACCTTATTACCCACTGTCCTTAGGAAGTGAGAACAAGACATTTAGGAGCATTAGACAGAGGAGATGTTGCATTAACAAGAAAAAAGAAGAAAGAATTTAATTTATAGCATGATGATCAAATCAAGACATGTTTTTAAAGAATGACTATTAGAAATGTAAATCTCAGGTGCACTTTAGTAAATGTCTATGAAGATATCTACCTATATTTAAATGTGTGTATACATATACACACATAATAGTCTACTGTGGAAATGTGATTAATTTATTAAAACTGAGTAAGCCTCAGTTTCCTCACCTATAAAATGTGGGGACTAGTTGCTATCTCTGTCTCCTCTAGTCCTGTGTTTCTATGATTTAATTACTTTACAAAATATTTCATACATTGGGGCATCTCAATGTTATGCTATACTCTAAAAGAAGTATATAAAACACAGTTTATAAACTGATTAATTTAAAAATACAGTGATCAATCATAATCCACATATAAATATGTAAGACACTTTTTATAAGTACAGCTATCAACTGAGAAGTAATGATAAATCTGTATAGACTATTACCATTATTTTTGGCTAGACTTAATGTCACTTTCTATGACTCTTTGGAGTTCAAAGACAAACACGATAGGTCACTGAAATGTAGACTCCCACCCTGCCAATGCTGGAACCGTTTGCTTCTTCCTGTGCATGTACACTGCTATATAGTGGTGTTACTCGTAAATTCACAGGGTGCCCATCCACTTGCTTAACTGCTCTGATTTTAAGAAAATGCTTCCTTAGACTGAGTATAAAACTGCCTGCCTGATCATTTCTGGGTGTCCGGAAGTCTAAGCATGCAACTTCTATCTGGTACATTTCCTCCATGGGTCAGAGAGTGACAGACTAGAACTGAGCATAGTCGCATGGTTAAATCCATCATGCACATGGCCAAACAGAAATGTACTGACTCTCCTCATTATCGACTCAATTTTCTCATTGTCCTGTTGAATTTTTTTGGTGTTTTATAAAAGCAAAATCACCATCTGAAGTTCGAAAGAACCTGACAAAGCAACATGATCCACAGAAATACTCTGAGTCGCCCAACCACGACAATGCCTGCCCATGAGGACTGTTCAAAGCCCTCCCTTGTTCTCTGCCTCCTTGATTCAGGCACAAATGCAGTAATGGTCTCTGGTTCATCCAATCTCTAGACTGGACTGGACTGCAGTTGTTTCTAAAAACAATCCATTCTGCCATGCCATTCCCCATCTTGCCCCTTTCAACTCCACACAGGACCAGGACCCCCAGGCTCCCACTCCTCCCTCGGGACACGCCCTGCCTCTCCCGAGTGCTGGTTCCATGTCCCCATGGCCTCCTCTGCCCTCTGAGGGCACTGGCAGTTAGTTCCTCTCCTGAAAACTCTTTACATGGACTTGTGTTTAAGCCCCCATCACAATGAGTGGTAGAATTTGTTTTCAGTCTGTCTATCCCACTGGGCTATAAACCCCTAAAGCATACGGATGGTGGCTTATTTATCTGGGGGTCACCAAGGCAAAGAAGACAGAAAACATGTTTGTGGAAAGACTCAGTGAATGCTCTTCTATATTACAGACATGCTGAAGACACAGTCTTTCTTCCTGCCACAAGTGGTATGGTTCTGCATCAATTTTAAAAATCAGGAAATCTGGAAACTCTATTCTGAGCTGAGTTATTCTATGTAGATCAATTTCGAGTAAGCAATCCAGGTCCCTGGGCTCATGGCTTCCTCAAATCAGAGACAGCCTGACATGCCCTGCCCAGCTCTTTTAACAGGCCCCGGGCCAGCTCTAGGGACATCAAAAGGAGAGTGAATGACATACCATGGGCTTCTCAGCCTTGACTGTTTTCACCTGGAGGCATTCTTCCCGCTTTGAGGTAGTGTTGCTGAGGTCCTTCTGCTCACCGAGGGCTCCCTGAGTCGGCCGGCCGGGGGACCTGGACTGTGAGTGGCTGCCCGAATCTCGAGGGGGTGGGGGCCGAGGATGGATGTCCCCACGCTGCTTCTTGGTGACGTGAGCCTCTGGGCCATGCACCGTCTTCACGTGTTTCCGGAGGGAGCTCGGGTCTGTGTAACGCTTGGTGCAGCCTGGGATTTTGCACACATATGGTTTCTGCCAAATGCCATGAGAAGGAGATAACAGAACGCTGTGAAAGTGATTACGCTCCAGCCTAACAGTCCTTTGTGGTGGCGCATTACATTTTTAATTCTTTCAAAACACTTTCACAAAGCTTTGAGTTTAATAAGGCCATTGAACACTGTTCCATGTCCACAGAATCTAGCTCTAACAGAGTGCTATTTTAGAGAGAGCTCAGGGAGCGCTAAGAATGTGTCAACAGATTTTGTCTTTGGAAGCTTTTACACTGTGAATAAGAAGAAGTAGCACAGTGCCATGACAGGCGCTTTGCAGACATCGGATGGTGATGGGGGTGATGTCGGGAGGAGGCTTAAAAGACCCCATCATCTAATTGGGAGGATGCTGTGTCCCTGGCAGGAGAGGGTGTGCGAAAAAACTTCTCATGGATGTCCTGGTTCCAAGATCTAATACAACTCTGTCCCCTTTCAAAATGTGCTATTTACACATAGGCATAGTAAAAAAAATATTGCCTGTAGCCTTTGGGTAGCATTACAAGTGTGTGGGAATGTTCAGAGCACAAAATATCCAGGGCCTTCCTGATCTCCAAAGTTGTAAAGCCTGGTCCATGATGGCTCATCATAAACTGCAAAAGGGTGGCTGGTGTGCTGGAGACCAGGCTTCCTGGTACGTGCTCTCCTCCTGATACTAAGGTCTATAAGTTATTTCATGCTAATTTCGTCTTCTATGTGGGTCAGTGAGAAAGCCTAAAGATAGAGTTATAAAAAATTATATCAATTCAGCTTATAGCTGAATATTTACTCAAATCACAGAAATGCTGGCCTTTGCTCATGACCAGTATCAGAATTGTGATTTTGTTCACCTGGCTGGAAATATAATGAATTCATGGATGCTTGCATGAGTATATAATCTATGTATACTAGAAGATGAGCATTTAAATAAGCAATCGTCATAAAAGGCATGATTAATGTAATTGTACCCATTATATCTTTAAAAATGCCCCATCTTATAAAATGTATGTCTAAAAGATGCTTTTTCACTAAAAGCCCAAGAACAGACTGAGTGCTACCTAAAATGCTGAAACGTCCTAATGCAGTGAAGCGAAGACTCCGAAAATTATCCTGAGAGGCTTCACCTCCAAATTCGAGATTCCTCTGGGTAGAATTGACTCGCATTAACTATGAATTACGTCTATTCAGGAGCTTGTGTGATTTGCAGCATATATATACAATGAAATGAGTGCATCAGATTCTATGCATTAGGACAGAAGAATGGCTCTGACGACTAGTGCCATTACCTTACCGTGTCCTGACATTAGTCCTATGCTTGCTCACAGCATTGCTGTGACAGGTCATTCCACCAGCGGCACACTGGGAGGCATGGGGCAGTTGTGTGGGGATAGGAAGAGGAGAGGGGGCCCCACGTGGGGAGCTATTCTTCCTGTAAACATAGGCATGTGTATATTATGGGTTAGCCTAGAAGTGAGGACACTGCTAATGTGTAACGAGCATACAAATGTTTGTCAGTCCTCCACTTCCCAGAACAAGAGCACATACATGTACACCTGCCCTTGTATGTGAACACCTGAGAGCACTTCAAAAAGTTTGTGGTAAAACAGAATTGAAAGATAATACACGTCTTTGCATGAACTTTTGAAGTACCCTCATATACATTATTCACCCACAGAAACTCACAAGAACACAGTTAGGTTCAGGAGATTTATACTCGACAACAAAACATATTAACCCCTCATGTAGGTTGGCTCCCAAATTTTGCTGTGATAAATGACTGAAATGAAATATAAGTGTAGGCTAAGATAAATGTTGTGAGACTTACTGAGGTGCCCACTTTTCATGTCCTGAATATTCAAACTTCTGTCACAGATGTTAACTTTTTGACTCACTGCACTGATAGGCATTTTGTGGAAGCAGCTGATGCTTTTTCTGACTTTTGTAGACTTTGTAGAATTTATCGAACCAATTTTTTTCAATAAATATTTAATGGTCCCTACCATATGCAAGATTCTGTGAACACGAAGTGTGAACAACGGGACTTAATATCAAGGAATATAAAAAATGGTAGAAAAGTTAGGTAATGACATTGTCTGCATTACAAAGTGTGTGTTCGACGTCAGCAGGTGCACTGAGGAGGAATCGTTTTGTTATTACGTGTCTGTACCTGGGTCTAATGTCAGCTCATGGGGTCATGGTGCGTGGGAAATAAGACCATGTACATGGAGTGCACACCAGGGTACATGGCACAGAGTGAGCACCAGTCAAGGAGCTTTTACCAGGATTCTGAGAGAGAAAAACGAGGGCAGGAGGATGCCAAAAAGCAGTGTCCTGAGCCAAGGTCCAGCAGCAGGACCACTTCACACATGCTGAGAAGGCAGGTCACAGCACAGGCTTCTGGAAAGTTCCATTCGCTGTAATGACAGTGAAAGGTCAGGAAGGAGAGCTGAGTGGCCTGGAGTAGGGAATCCTGTCGGAAGCTGGCCAGAGGCTGCGGTCCCATGGCCCTAAATGGGCAGGACAGCTCAAGGGACAGAGAAATGCCGGAATGGCTTCCCTGAGTGGGAGTCACCCCCTTCCTGTTCTGCTCCATCACATTCTTTGCCTCACCTGGAACGTGCTTGGCATGTGGCCAGCTATCAAAATTTGTTCAGTGGACAATGAAGGTATAAATAAGAGTCCCTTCCTGTTCTGCTCCATCACATTCTTTGCCTCACCTGGAATGTGCTTGGCATGTGGCCAGCTATCAAAATTTGTTCAGTGGACAATGAAGGTATAAATAAGAGAGCAAATAAATGAAAGAAAGTACCTTGATAAATCTAGAATGATCTGTTTACACAAATCTGGATTTTCTGGGCAAACTTAATTTTGTTGTATCTGAAACTGTCCGTCAATCCTGCACAAGGCCAAAGCCTTGCACATAGAATAGAGAAGAGTGATTTACATGTGTGTGAGCAAAATTTTAATTATGTATTTATGATCAAGGTTAATCATTCAAGTAAATCACTCAACATTGGTGAAATATATTAGCAACCATTATATATTTTAATCTCATCACAGATGTTCAACTCTTATACAGCACTGCCCTTTTTACCTCATAGAAGAACACAGGCTCAACTATAACACACTTGATTAAAGCAAACAGGCATGCACATATTTTAAGTCTATCGAAAGATAAGTAAGTTCAGTAAGTATCTTTATATGTGCGCATTGGTAATCCTAACATACCCAACTGCCCAAATTTCTTCACAATAACAGAAGAGAATTCTGGCCTAAAATCTATCGAAATGAATATCTTCTAAATTTCTAGTTGAAATTATACTTAAGTATATGAAATATAGTTAAATAATAAATTAAATTCTAAGTTAAACCCTCTAAAATTTTTTAACTGAGATATAACTCACATGTTGTAAAAATAACCCTTTGAAATTGCACAATTCAGTGGCATTCGGTACATTCTCAATGTTGTACAATCATCGCCACTACCTAATTCCAGAACATTCTCACCACCTCAAAAAAAGAAACCCTGTACTCATTATCAGTCACCCCCATTTCCTCCCTCTCACCTTCTGGCAACCACTAATCTACTTTCTGTCTCTGAGGATTTGCCTATTCTAGACTCCCTAAAACTTTGTACAAGTACAACAGATTATATTGTAGCTATTGCACACAGTAAAAGCATGTTTGGCATAAAAAAATAAACATGTGGCATCTCCCCTACAATGTCTCCAGTTGGGCAATAATAAGAGATTCCAAATCACTCGAGTTTCCTTATTCCACCATGACCTTCTCAGAAAGAGGAGCTGGTGTGGATGAACTTGCATGTGAGTTTGTGTGAGTCTGTGTGAGTCTGTGTGAGTTTGTGTGAGTTTGTGTGAGTTTATGATTGTGCTTTTCAGAATGTGGTTAATCCTGTTAGAGACGATTTTGCTCTTATCAGTTCAGCTGAAAAAAAACTCAGTAAGGACCATCTTTGCCACCTTAAAGCCAAATGGCCACTGAGTGGAATGGCTTAGTTTGTTTTTACCAGATTCCCTCTCCCCAACTCTCTATCTGAAAGATCACAAATGGGCCTAACCTGCATCTGGTAAGGGTGACAGCCACGCCAGGGTCTTCTGTGTGCAAAATGCTTCTTCTCTAACACATTTCAAGCAAACTGGTGACATATTTTGTGGGCCTGAAGTATGTCTCATGTTAACAAATTCTGGTTAGTTATCCAAGTTCTACCCAAAATGCAGGGAGTCTTTTATTTAATCACTTGATTCGTTCAAGGAGAAGACTTCACAGAGGAGCCAGAATTTGAGTGAGATCTCTAAGGGCAAGTTGGAAGTCTGTAGACAGATGTGCATTGAAATGTAAGCAACATGCATTTGGAATCATTCTCATGCTTATGCTTTTCTGCAATTTTTTTTTTGGGGGGGATAACTATCTAAAAATAACAGCAACCCAACAGGAACCATCTACTACCATGAATCTTTGCTTGATATGTTATCTTAGTTAACTGACTAGCAACCAATCCTGGATTTCTGAGAATATCTCCAAGGATCCCTTGGAATTTAGAATATCTGGAAATTGTGTTTAGCCAAGGCTGGTTGCTCTGTAAAAATCTTTTTTGATATAATGCATTTGAAGATAACACCTGGAGAAAGCAAATAAAAGTGGTATCTTAGCAGTCAGCTGTCAACACGCTGCTTCTGAATCCATCCTTGGGGCTTACATCCTTTGCATGGATTCATGTATTCCCAGCCCAGAGCAAGTGGATCGAATTCCAAGTTAAGTGCTTCTACTGTTTGACCGGTAGGTGGCGGTTCCAAACAGTATGAAACTAAGTTCACGAGGGGTTTAAACAACTTCCCTCTTCATCTGGGTTACTCTCCAAATGAGGCCCAGATTCCAGCCCCACTTCAGGTCCCAGCCTTCACCTGCAGGATCAGAACCCACTCACGCTGGGAACAACCGAGAGGAAAATCAAATGGAGCAGCCCCCTTTCCAGCACATTCCCCACGAGAGCTCTTCATCCTACCCACGAGCTCTGGGCCCATGCAGAGCTTACCTCATTGGAATGTGTTCTGTTTTGGTGCTTGGCACGATCGGAGGCGTTTGAGAAAGCTTTATTGCAACCTTCGTGCTCACAGACGTACGGTTTCTCTCCAGTGTGAGATCTCAAGTGCGTTTTCAAGTTTTCTAGTCTCGAGTAGGCCTTTGTGCAACCTTCAAACTGAGGACAGCAGGTAAAGCTGGATTACTCCACACAATAGCAACAGCAGCTTGTGCCTGACACTCCCTCAAGGTTGATGCAAAACTGACGTTTCAAGGACCAGCAGCTTTTCAAAACCAAGGAACAATAAGTCCACTACACTCTGCATTTACTGGGATTCAGATGTGGCTTGCTGCAGTTCAAGATCAAGCGTTTTCAGTGCCAGTAAAAGTCCTTTTTGTTTTTTTTTTAAAGACTGCTCAATGTGGACAATGAGTCTCATTATCTACTCATTGATCTCCTCGAATTCCCACTGATTTTGGATTCAGCACAAAGTTCATTAATATGGCTTTGTGTGCATACAAAGACATGGAATTTGATCATGTTTGTGAAGGGCTTTTAAGATGTAAAGTGCCAGGGCTGAGCATTGCCTGGTGGGTCTGGGGTGCCCCACAGAATGAATGCTTGGCCTTGCAGCAGTCCCCGCCCCCTCTGTGGCTGTGTGCTATGCCACGAGGATGGATGAGATATTAGTCAGGCACAGGAACTGGCGTTTTGAAAAGCTAACCCAAGTGCTGTACGTGGGAAGCGGGCACCTCCCTCTGCCAGCCTAGTCCTCTGGTGCCAGTGCCGAGTGTTGGGCGGTGGCCGTGTGCACTCCCAGTGCCAGCACTCCGCCCCATGCTGCTCTGCAGTGCTGCCCTGTCCCACACAGCAGCTCAAAGCCCCCGGCATTGAGCAACACACACAATACTCTCCCCCTCCCCAATGTCACCCAATCGTGCCTGTCCTGAGCTGGGGTCATCAGCATGTACACCCTGACAAGTGTGACAAGGACCCGCGTGATCGCCCCACCACTGGGCACTCACAGTGCATTTGTGAGGCTTCTCGCCCGTGTGTCGTCTCATGTGCACCACCAGCATGTACTGCGCTTTGAAGGGCTTCTGCTCTCTCGAGCAATCGAGCCACCGGCACACAAACTCCTTCTTCTCTCCATGAATGTGGTCGTTATTTATATGCTGGGGTTTGGAAAAGAGAGAGAGACACAGAGTGGAAATGCGTTACTCACCTCCGAGGCAACAGAAGGGAGCACAAAATGCCCCAATCGTAAGCCCTAAGGATTCCATGAATGACTTGCCCACATCACAGATTTTCTTTTCTATTCTAGTCAGTATATTTCTCAAGTAAATTCGCTTTTGCTACCTGTGTATGTACACTTCCTACTGAGCAGGAGTGACACTGCTGGGGGAAGCCTGGAGTCCCAGAAAAGCACTACGACGGGCATCTGAACAGCAGAGCTCAGTTGTGAGTTCTGAGACCTGCTAGCTGTGAAACGGGTGAGTTGCACTTGTCCTCTCTGGGCCTCTGCAGCGCGGAGGGGGACTGTCAAGGCTAAAGGACTGCAGAGATGGTTTCTAGCTCTCACATGCTCTAGGCCTCGAGTTCCAAAAGGGAACACACATGCACAATTGCACAGCAAGGATCAAGAAAACCAAAAGCTCATTCAAACTAGAGTTCAGGTTTAGTGGGATTTCTTCTTGATAAGGATCACAGAATAAAGAACTAATATTGAAGAAGAGGACTGTGATTGTCAACAAATGATTTAGTTTCTCGGGGCCTTAGTCTTTTTTCATGTACAAAATAAAGAAACAGATTCACTAGTTTCTAAGGTCTTTTCAGTTCAAAAATTCTTTAATTTGGTTTTTAAGATGAAGATGACTTTCCTTGAATTCCTCATCAATTTAAAGTTTAAGAATCACTTTTTTATCTAGTTCTTTAATACATCAATAGCACCTCAATTGAGAGATATGTGAAACCTACAGCAATACCAGAGAAAGTGAAGGTTCTCAATTTGGATCAAATCAAGGTCCGCTTCAGTACATTGAGAGTATTATTTAACGTTCAAGTGTAGACTACTGAGGACGCGTCTCTTAGGT